AATGCACATGAGACCGTAACTGTTGTTCGGGCAGTTATAAGAGAACTTAATGTTAGTGTGAAGTTAATGTTACAGATTAAATGAAGTACTCACCAAACTGATAGGTTTATATTTAAAAAAGCATGAAAACATGATCATACATCAATATGCACTAAATAAATTCCATAGTGAATAATTAAGTTCCATAAATAAGTTCCATAGTGTGCATAGTTTCATGTCATTCTTTTGAGCATACGGTAGCCTGTTGTGCTTTTCAGATGTTTGCATCAGAAGTGACAGTGTTGTTTTGATTGCCCTGTATCAACACTGATCATTAATTCAGTTGCTCTGTTGCATAACCACAGGCTGAGGGAGCAAGAAACAAGTGTAGGATGGAGACAAAGAAAAGAGAAATTGTTATACAGTCTGAAGTCCTGTTTTCCAGTTGAAATAGCACATTTTTAATAGAGACACCAAAGTTTTCAGTATGGTGTCTCAGCTAGGCTGCATTTATTTGATTAAAAATACCATAAAACAGTAGTATTGTGAAATAATAATAAATTTTTAATTCTAGTAAAATGTCATTTATTCTTGTGATGTGTTAGAGCATGCCTCCACGCCAGATAATTAAGATCCAGCCCCGGATGCCAGATCCTGTCAGAAAATATCTGTTTTGTCTGGTAACAGAACAACTCATCAGCAAAGCGGTCTGATACCCAAAACCTCTTAAAAGCAAGTCTTGTCTGGTATTAACAGTCTTCTATCAGCCAAGAAGTTGACCGAGGAAAAAGCCAGAGAAGAGCAGAAGCAGGAGATGAAGTGGTGATGATAAAAAGGAGCAGAGTTTATTGAATAGTCTTAGTTGCGTATGTTTCAATGCTCAGACTTCGTCTGACCAGCACAAATTCAAAAGGTATTCTTATACCAAAACTGCTTGAAAACAACATCGAATAAACCTTGACTTTCCATAAACATTCTCTTGTATCTCTTATTCATGAAGACTAACAGCCCTTGAATCGAAATGGAATCGAGATCGCGATTCGACAGAAGCTGCGATTTTCATGTGTATCTTTCAGTGAAGCACGGTTCTGTGATCAGCAGTAAATCTCCATCCAAAGGCCAATATACAGTTTATCTGAGTTCTTATTATTATAATTTTCATTAAAATAAAGTATATTTATAATGCAATGCCTTTATCACTGTTTAAATACTATGAAATATGTTGCGTGCCTTATTCTGTGTAAGAAGCCACATCATCTCACAGAAGGATTTATTTCAAACACTCGACTGACGTTATGAAGCGAGTTTGGAGTAAAAATATGTTATTAAATGTGGTATTTTCACATGCTTTCAGATGGAGCAGCATTTACTTCACAGAGCCGTAGTTCACTGAGAAGCTATGCGAACAGCTGTCATTATCGCGATCGATTTCTCCGATTTAATAATCGTGCTTCGATTTCATTTCCTGCTGAGTACAGAACCGGCTTTACTAACAAAATGCGCATGACAATCGCATTCGATTAATCGTGCAGCCCTACTTGAAACCACACAGTCATAAGACTAAACAACAATAAAAAATAAAAAATTAAATATTAAATATATATATATATATATATATATATATATATATGAATAATCAGTGAATTAATTAATGACATGGGTATATAAATGACTATAATGATTATTATAAATTATTATATGATTATATTGAATAATAATAAAATCATTAAATGATTAATGATTATAAATGAATGAATGAATGAACATAAAAAAGTAAGTAAAACACAACACAAATGTATGGTTGCTCTCTTGAAGCAAAACACACACTGCATTTGAGGATCCCCATCCTTCAGATGACTAAGCTGATTTGATTACTCCAGTCTTCAGTGTCACACGATCCTTTCAGAAATCATTCTAATATTCTGATTTGCTACATTTCTTCTTATTATCAATGTTGATTTTGTGCTACGTAATATTTTCGTGGAAACCATGATGCATTTTTTCAGGGTTGTGGATGAATAGTTATTTCAAATATAACTCTTTTGTAATCATTGCTGAGTAAAAGTGTTAAGAAAGAAAGAAAGAAAACTTTTGAATGGTACATTAGTTGGACGGGCCTGATAAACACAGTTTGTTTATGATTTAGACTTAATAAACAATTTATTATACTAAGAGAATGCATTATTTTTGGACTATTTTGTCCAAATAAATAAAATGAATAAATAAAGAAAAAAATTGTTTTAAAAGATGTAGACTTCATAATGTTCTAACGTTCATTACGAAAAATGTATTTATTTTGAACTTTGCTAATTACATTATACATAAGGGTTATTAAGTTATTATATATTTTAGATGAAGTGGGTGTTAGATGACAGAAAACAATCCAAATTCAAAAAAAGGGAAAATTTGCATTTATATAAAATATACAGTAGATATACAATATTGACTAATACAATAAAATAATATATCTAATATGGCCAGATAACCAACATGGTATCAAATCAGATACTGTGCATGTCAATATTTCATGTCAGATTTTATTCCTGATGTGAAATGTTATTGAAATATGCTTTTGACAGACTGATGTCTTTTATCAAAAAGATGTAAGCAGCACTTGCATGGCATTGCCAAAACTGATCTTTATATTATTATGCCTAGTATTCTTTTCTGTGATCTAAAATATAAAATAAGAAAGACCTGTGGGGTAATAGGTGAAAAATGATCACACTTTGCTCATTCACATTAATGAAGAAAACATCATTGCACAAGGACACAGATGTTTTTAAAAAAAGAGTATCCTCTACACCATTCACATCCTTTGGCGGTCACAGCTGTAATAGATGGCACTGGACTCAAGGGCCGGAATGGCCCCATTAAAAGCCGGCCCTTGGGAGGTCTGAAGTATCATATCCCTCTTAACTGTCACTGCCAAGGCGGATGTGATCCCATCTAACGAGTGCTTATGCTGGGATTCCTGAGGTTCATGTTAACGCAGTTTGTTTTATGTTCGATCACCATCTGACAGACCTGTAGAAATACATATGCGGTTGACTGCACATGAGTATAGTGACTTATGAGGGATCACAGCCCACATGCTGTAGATGGCATGACAGGACAGGATCGAATGCATGCATGGGGTGATATAATATTCTACAAAATTATAAAATATTCATTGCAGATATCAAAACAGAAAAGCTGCTGCAGTTTTTGCAAACAGGAACTTGTGGAAAGAGATCAACTGAAAAGGGAGGGAAAGGAGAGGGAGGGTTTGCGTGCTTGTGGGTATTATACAAAACACCCACATCATGGCAGTCTGTGGAGACTCAACCCACAGTACAGAAGAAGGAAAGATCGAGAGAGGAGAGACCAGAGAGATAATGATTGCAACCTCCTGTTCTCCATTAAAATATGAGCAGACCCTGGGCACTTAATACAACACATAAACAACAAAAACAAAAACACATTGAGGGAAACCTGCTCAAACGTGGTGAGTCACTACTCTTTTTATATTTATTGTGGATTTTGGAGGATTTGAAATATTATCTTCATTCTTCTGTTTCACTGTAAAAAAAAAAGTTATTTTTATTATTATTATTATTTATTAGCAGTAGTAGTATTTTTTGCAGTGTAGGACAGTTGTTCAAAACTATGGTGTGTAATCATTTTTAATGATGACTTATTGCTAATCAAATTAAACGAGAGCCAACTGAACTTCCATTCATGTGACAATATGATCATGTAAGTGTTTTTATGGGGAAAACGAAGGATAACAGGACAAAATAGGATAAACAATCATATGATATAAAAACAAATTAAAGGTTCTTTGTGAGGAACATGAATCTAACTTGCTGAACTCATGAGCAAAACCTCCAGAGACAAAAATCTAAACAATCATGCCACTGCTTAAAACAAACATGATCATAGTGACCACAGACACTGCAATGAATTATGTTTAAAAATGCATACTTGCAAAGCAGGCTTATTTTTGTCTCAGTTAACTATGTTATGTATGCCATTTTGTATCTCCTTAAACCATCAACTGTTATTGTTAGGTAACCATTTATCATAAATTATATTTTTTACAGCACAAACTTGCCTGTCAAAACATGCATAAAGATGTCATGAACCAATTGGCAATATTGTTTAACTTAGTCACATGATAATTAGAAAGTTAAAAGTCAGTGATGATGATAACCCGACATAAAAAAGGCGAATGAGCATGTCTCATCCTGTCTCCTGGGTTTCAAAGAACCTGCAGACTGGGGGAAGGTAATGCTGTCTAAAGAGAATTACAATCTGAACACAAGAGCCTGTTACATGCCAAGACAAGTTCAGATAATACACAAGTACTTGAAGACATGTGGGAGCACAGGATCTTTTTTACTTCAAACCAGTTCATTTATTAAAAGTCCTTGAGCTCAGAAATGGCAGGGAAACAGATACATAGATTTACTGTCGTTGGTAAGGGTTTAACAGGACATCTGCACAGGCAAGTTTTAGAGAGTGGGTGTGTGAATGTGTGTGTAAAGATATGTTCATACACACACACGACCCCAATCCATCGATTAATGTCTTGCGAAGTGCAAAGCTGCGTGTTTGTAAGAAACAAATCCATCATTAAAATGTTTACTATAAACCTGTTACGGGGCTGACGAGACGTGAGACTTGCGGATCCATTCGGCTAAGGCTAAGGCTAATGACTAGGGCTAAGGCAAATTACTAGGGCTAAGGCTAATGACTAGGGCTAAGACTAAGGCAATGACAAGGGCTCCGTAAGGTAGCTATCTCTAGGAGAGTGATAAACGCTGAAACAATACTCGGCAGAGGGAAGGGATCTACAAAATTATAAAATATTCATTGCAGATATCAAAACAGAAATGCTGCTGCAGTTTTTGCAAACAGGAACTTGTGGAAAGAGATCAACTGAAAAGGGAGGGAAAGGAGAGGGAGGGTTTGCGCGCTTGTGGGTATTATACAAAACACCCACATCATGGCAGTCTGTGGAGACTCAACCCACAGTACAGAAGAAGGAAAGATCGAGAGAGGAGAGACCAGAGAGATAATGATTGCAACCTCCTGTTCTCCATTAAAATATGAGCAGACCCTGGGCACTTAATACAGCACATAAACAGCAAAAACAAAAACACATTGAGGGAAACATGCTCAAACGTGGTGAGTCACTACTCTTTTTATATTTATTGTGGATTTTGGAGGATTTGAAATGTTGTTATTATCTTCATTCTTCTGTTTCACTGTAAAATAAAAGTTATTTTTATTATTATTATTATTTATTAGCAGTAGTAGTATTTCTCTGTATTTATTTCTCAGATAAATACTTCATAAGCATCATAATAACTTGTTTTGAGAGAATGTAACTATTTTTCTTACTCTTTTAGCATTTTTAAATTTGCTTTAAGCATAAATCTAACAAACTTAAATTGCCAATTGTTAAAAAAATATATAATTTAATTTAATAATAGTGTAAAAATATACTATCTGAAAACAAGTCAACATATATATATATATATATATATATATATATATATATATATATCATAAAAAAAATTTTACG